GTGTTTGTTTGATTTGGAATGTGATATGCTCAGTGTTAATCGTATTTGCTGACTCTAGTCCATAAAGCTGCTTATTGCTTTTGGCTTTTGACTTTTGATCTAAAAACTTATAATTTCTTCCACAAAAGGTTTTTGCTTTAGATTTCCTACATTCCAAAGTAACAAATGCAGCCTGAATTTGGTTGTTGAGATTATGGTAATGCAATAAATCTCGTTTCGAATGCTTGCTTACTTTGATACTCGATGCTTAGTTTTGATGAAGAACAGTTTTCGGTTTCATTCTATCAGCCAGTTGGTTTCAGGAAGGATGGTTTCCAATTGCATTTTTGTTTTTCTACTTTAAATGCAGAATATTGAGAAATTAGAGAAAGTTGTAGAGGAAGGTAATTACTATGGAGCTCAGCAAATGTACAAATCTATTAGTGCAAGGTACGAATCATATGCTCTTTATAATTTATGCTTAGATAGTTTCTGTTATTAGTTTCGAGGCTCAAGAGTATGATGATTCAGGAAAATATTGGGAATTGTACTGACAGAAATTCTCCAATGTGGGATAAATCTTGCGGGATGCGAGTGCCTGCTTGATTGGCTGGGTTCACATCTTGCAAGATTTTTCCCACATTGGAGAAAGCCTCATTTTATTTAACATTGAGCATGGCTGTTGAGGAACCCAGGAACCCATTTTATTCCTTTGTCTTTCTTAAAGGCAGGCACGTTGATCAAATATGGATGCTTTATTGCAGATATGTAGCTGCTCAGAGGTTTTCTGAGGCTGTGGATATCCTTCAGTCTGGCGCATGCAACCAACTGAAACATGGGCAGGTCATACTTTCATGGCTCTGCGTTTTGAGATACAAATTTGCATAATTTGGACATAGTCAAGATACAAACAAGCAGAAAATATATCATGACATTTCATAGTCAAATCTGTATTACTAACACTGTATATACGGAAAACAAATTCAGGTTACTTGTGGTGCTGAGTTGGCTGCTTTGTTTGTGGAAACACTTGTCAAAGGAAGATTCCCTTATGACGATGAAACACTAGGTCAGTTGTTATTATCATATGGTATAGAATTCAATTCTCGATTGGTTCACTGTTGGCTTGTTCTTACCTTCTGTAGTAATTTTGAACTTCTCGTGGTTGGTTCTTCTAGCGGGTTTTATTTGTATCAGAGTATCAGTGTTATGATAAATAGAATTTTTGGATATGATTCACATGTTTTCCTAGCCATTTTCGGTGTTCTGGTGTTTCTAATATTATGATGCTTCTATATTTTCGTGATCGTGACAAATTTATTTATTTTGTCAGGTCGTGTCAGGAAAATTTATAAAGCATTTCCTCGGATACCTATGCCGCAGCAGTTAGGGGATTTAGATGACATGCAACAACTTTCTGAAACACTTGGGGAAGCAAAAACATGTGTTGAGGGCTGCTCATCGTTTCTAAAATCTGCTCTTAAGTGAGTTTTGTTCAAGATTTTCCTTTTCCCAATTTTGAGAGAGATTTCATGGTTATGGTTTGGTCTTTTATGTGGGAGTTAAGATATTTGATTCCTCTCTATCTGAATATTCAATGCTATTTGATATTCATGTGGTTTTTTCTTTTGTCTAATCCATGCATTTTATCTACAATTTACTCTAACTATGTGTTTGGTTGGTGGGAAAAAGGGGCTTGAGAATGGGAAATCGTTTACTTTCCCATGTTGGATAAGTGCAAGGAAGAGAAGAAATTTGGTAATAAATGATAAATGTTGGGAAAGAAGAGAATGTCGTTACTCATACCCTTTTAACAGAAGCTAACCGGCCCCCTCCCCGCTTTTTTCAACATTTACTAGCATTTTTTATAGGTGTTTAGGAGAAAATTGCAGTAATTAATTATTGAAAAACCAATTATAACCCACAATTGCACTTCATATTGAACTTCTTTTTTTCCCAACTTTATTCATATTAAGGAAAATATCAATTTTGATCTTTTATTTCCTGGTTACTTTCATAATTATACTAAACATGTGTGTACATGACGAGCATGCACACAATTTATATCAGATCCTATAGTGTCATCGAGCACTGAAAATGCATTTCTGTTTCTCTCTTTTCAGGTGGTCTAAGGAGTTTGGTGCACCCAAGGGTGGAGCTCCAGAAATACATGTCATGTTAGCGAACTACATATATTTTGAATCTCCTGAGGTGGTAAGTAGCATCTTGATTGTGTTCTTTGCTGTGCTTGCGGCTGTCCATAATCCTTTAGTATTTAGCTCTCGAGTGCATACATTTCAAAGACTGTCCCTACAGTCCACTTTATGCAAATGCCTGCTTATTAATTGCTAGTAAGGTCAGATGGAATATTGAACCAACTTGATTTTGGCCAACAGATCATTATTTATACAAACTTGTTTACGGTCATTTTGGTGATTGCATCATCTTTCCAAGGTTTTATTCTGAAGCACTTTTGCTATTGACAATGTTTTGGAAGACATGTTGGAATCGTCTTTTATTTTTTTTGGTCTGTTCAAACTATTCTTGCTATAAGTGCAGAGGGAACACCATTATCTTGTTTGATTGCTTTGCAGGACATGGTTAGAGTGTCGTATCATTTTGTTCGAGGAAACAACCCCAAAGAGTTTGCTTCGACTTTAGTAAATTTTATGGGCAAGGTGAGCTACAAAATTATAGTTAGTGTCTCCTCTTTTAGCACTAGAAACTCATCTTCGACCAAAAAAAAAAAAAAAGAAATTAATTTTCACAAATGCAGAAAAAGGTATGTTACAGAATTATAGTTAGCTTTTTGATATAAAGTTTTTATGGGGTTCATACTTCTTGACCATGCAGTGTTATCCAGGGGAAGATGATTTGGCCATTGCACGAGCGATTTTAATGTAAGCCACTTCTCCACTATGTACTTGTATAGGCAATTCACTCTTCGGTTCTGGTTGATATCATTGATGATAGTTGAACAACCAATCTGGATTATGGAACCTGAATCCTGAATTCGCTTACAGAATTTTAATATAGCTTCAATTCTGAAGTTCACAACGAGTGCAATAAATCCATGGCCTAATTGATGTTTTCGTAAAAACTGAGAAACAAGAACTTGGTTATGATGTAATGTGGGAACTTCCTTTCTAATTTTCGAGGGTAGTTTAAAATACATTGTGGGTTTTATGAACATAGTGCAATTTAAAATTTTGATTTGGGCTTTTTAGCCAAAATGGTCCCTGAGATTTTCATTACACATAACTTTAGTCCTTGAGATTTAAAATCAATAGAAGTGGTCCTTGAGATTGTCCACCATCCATTATTTTGGTCCTTCCATTAAAAAACTTTGTTAAGTGGTCCCTGAGCTTTTTAACGGAAGGACCAAAATGATGGATGGTGGACAATTTCAGGGACCAAAGTTATGTGGGACCAAAGTTACGTGTTATGCAAATCTCAGGGACCAAAATTATGTGTTATGCAAATCTCAGGGACCAAAGTTATGTGTTATATCTTCAACTTAGCGGAGTTTTATAACAGAAGGACCAAAATAATGGATGATGGACAATCTCAGGGACCACTTCTATTGATTTTAAATCTCAGGGACCAAAGTTATGTGTTGTGCAAATCTCAGGGACCATTTTGACTAAAAAGCCTTTTGATTTGTTGGGTGGCACTATGAGTTCATTTGAACCTGCTTTCAAAGTGTGCACTCAAAATTGGGAGATCCTCGACGAATATACACATTCAACTACCGTTTTGTCATGTTTATGTACTTTTCATGAGCAGTAGGCTAATTGAGCTAATTCTGTTTTCCTATAGAGCTGATTTTGTGTCTTTCTGGTGTAGGTATTTGGCAGTTGGTAATCTGAGAGATGCCAATATTCTCGTGGATGAGATAAAGAAGCAAGTGGAGTCTAAGCAGCTCGACTTTCCCAAATCCAATTTGATTCAGTTCATCAATTTTCTTTTGCAAACGTATGTTGCTTTCAATTCTTTCTTTTCATTCATGAACCGTAACAATCGTATATCCCATCTCTAGAGAAAGCTCCGTAACAATGTTATCAGTCTTAACGGAATTTGGAGTATGATAAGAGAAAATGATATGTACTGTTGCTTGTTCGATTTTTGGTGACTTGAGCAATCAAATATTGATTTAATAACCATACTGGAAATATGCAATTTATGTATGCCCCTGATCTTCATGCCTCCAAATATCGATAGCCAAAGTCCTGAGAGATCATAAAGATTTAATTAGATTATGAAATAAGGAGCCTCAATTATTGACGTGTATTGCTGAATGTTATTCTCAATGCAGGTTGCTGAGAGATGCTCTTCCGCTTTTTAATATGTTGAGAGAGAAATACAAATCAAGCTTGGACAGAGAACCAACATTTCATGAGGTATGCAGTTTTTCTGCGCGACCACCTTTTACAAATTTGTGTCACCTCTCACTAAGGTGTGCGGTGTGTTTTGTGCTGACATTAAATTTATGGTTTAGTTGCTGGATGAAATTGCGGAGAAGTTTTATGGAGTACGGCGCAGAAATCCGCTGCAAGGGATGGGAATGTTTGGCGAGATTTTCAAGGTAATTGTGCATTGCCCACAATACTGTAGCTTGCGATGGAGTTGAACTCTTGTGAATGATTAACTATAATTTGTTAAATGATATTACTGTGACCAAATCACAAATAATAACGATATTACTGTGACAGAAACTGTTCCAAAGAAAAATTGTTAAATGAGTCTTGAAATAATCGAGCGGCATTCTTATTGCAATCTCAATCCTTGCATTCTTATTGCAATCTCAATCCTTGTTATGCAGATGATGGGGGGTGAATAGTGACGCAAAGGAACTTAGCGTTCTTGCTTCCTTCAGCGGAGCATCGATGCTAATTTCTTGTGCCGGTTGGAGTGTTGGAGTGTATTTATATTTTTGATTCTCTAGAAACAATTTTCATGAAGTGTTTCTTAATGTTGTAAGATTTATATTGTCCTTCACCAAGCAAGATACAGATTCTGAATATTCCAAATTGTAATTCTTCCGGATTCTGAAATTTGAGTACTGAAATCCGTTTATTTAAGATACACATCTCTGAAACAAGTTCAGAAGTGGAAATCACAAACAGAAAAATTACAGTCACTCGTCGATCAAGAACTTCACTCCATTCTCCTTCAGAAAGTCATGTGTCGTGTGATCAACCACCTGCAACAAAAAATGGCCGTCTGATTGAGGTTCCATTTCCAGTTTTGCCCAAACCAACAGGAAAGTCTCGGCTGTCACCGAGATATCTCCCCATGTTCCTATAGCGCCCATCAGGTGACCAGGTCATGGGCGTGAGGAACATGAAGACATATCCCGGTTGCACGCAAGTTTCTCAACCAAACCCGCAAAAGCATAAATGAAAGAGTAGAGGAAAGGCCGAAGCTCACATTGGTATCGCTCAGCTCCAGATTGTAGAAGTCCATAGTCCCTGCCATGAACAAAGGCCCCGCATGCCACGTCCCGACATTAAGCTTCAGGAACTTGGGACCCGTAATCTTGAAAACCCGAACGTCTGCCACAGCCGGTGGCACGTAGAAATGGCCGGAGGCACAATGAGACTGCACCACATTGTTGCCTTCACGGTCCTTGCTTTCAACAATGGAAGGCTTGGCCACTCCAAGATACCAAACGTGGCCGCCGATTGAACCGAGGCACTGCGTCACGCTCGCATGGTGTGTGATCGTTGAGAACTTGAGCGGCCTACCTTGAAGATTCATTATGTAGAACCTGTAAACATGAACCAAAGTTGAAATGTGACACTAAAAAGTAATTTTGTTTTGCTTCTTGAAATTATAAGTCGTGTTATTATGCTAAACCGTAAATCAATATCGTGTATTGAACAATATAATCAATCAGATATCTTGCAATTGCTCAAAATAACTACGACATTTCTGAATGTGAAGGTCACATTGTCACTTTTCCTTAAGTCTTTTGACTTTGCTGGGGACTGTTTTAGTTTTCCACTTTTCCTATGCTGCTGCTGGAGTTCTGCTTTTGTAGAGCGGACATGTTAGGATTGTGATTTACTTAGATCACAATTATATAGCCGTTAAGGATTATTAGTGAACTTAAGTTGTTTTACTTAATTAATTAGTTTATTTAGTGATTGGCCAGCTGGCAATGGTTGTTTGTGAAAGGGAATATAAGCACCAATAGTCTGAGAGTCTTTGTAACGGTATTTTGATTAAAAAACAACATTTCAAAAATATTCAGTTCTCTCTCTATCGTCTCCTTCCTCCATACCCTTTGCCATTGTTACTAGCTACTTGCAGGTTGAGCTAAGGAGCTAGAGCATCGATCTTAACATTGGTATCATCTTCTTCATCTTGCGTCTCCCTCTTGTATGCCCCGCCACACCACCAATTCTCGAATGTCTACCATGTAAACGCGCATGTTCGCCATGGAAGCTGCTCTGGAAGCTATCCCTCAACTGATCCAATCCTCGACAGCAACCTCGGATGCCAAGTTCACCTCCCTGGAATCGAAATTTGCCCTTCTACTGGAACATCTCCGTTGCGACCTAGGGTCTCAGGGCAGTGTTGGTTCTTTTGCGGATTTCCATTGCCTTAACACTCCGCGTTACCAGTGCCGTGATTCTTTTGAAGGTGGTGGTTGCACTCATTGCCCTCAGTGGCAACATCGTCTGGATTTTCCCCGTTTCTCCAAAGACGATGATCCCTCATCTTGGATCTATAAAGCTGAGCAGTACTTTGCTTACTATCACACCCCAGATCACTAGAAGGTGGTGACTGCCTCTTTCCACTTCGAGAATGAGCCGCTGCAATGGTTTCGATGGCATGATTGCATCCACTCCACTCCAACATGGGGGGAATTCACTATTGCTTTATGCCAGAAGTTTAGCTCCACTAATTTTGAGGACTGCATTGAGTCATTGTTCAAACTCAAACAAATAGGTACTCTTCATGATTATTGTTGAATTCCGGTGCCTTGCCAATTGTACTTCATATGTAGGCCCTATATTGTTAAAGAGTTATTTTCTGGAGGTCTCAAAAAGGAATTGCATTATGATGTTAAGTTACTCCACCCTAATTCAGTTCATGAAGCCATTTCATTTACTGCTCAATTAGATGCTAAGATTAATGATTTGAAACCCTACCCTCCAAAACCCCATCCAATGGCAAAACCTACTCTGGCCTTACCTCCACCACCACTTGGTCGGCCTCAACCCCAAAACCCGCCATATAAGAAACTTACCCCTGATGAGGTTCAAAGGAAAAAGGAGAGTGTTGGTTATGTGACGACAAGTGGGTTCGAGGGCATAAATGTTTACACAAACAACTTCTTATGCTTGATGTCTGTGATGATTTGGAGCCAGAAGAGTGCAAATTGTTAAAGAATGTTGATCCTGCACCATTGGGAATGGAATTAAGTGCTTGTGATTTCTATAGAACTAGTGCACATCCAGCTGTGAAAACCATGAAGATAGATGGTGTACTTGAGCAGCAACTTGTCAAAATACTCCTCGATTTGGGCAGCACTCATAATTTCATAGATTCAAGGTTGCTCAAAAGGTTAGGTTGGAACCAAGGGTGTTGCAAGCAATTATCTATGCAGCTTTGAGATTATAAATGCCATACTGACCTGTTTGCCTTACCTTTTAGGGGGATGTGATGTCGTGTTAGGTGTGCAGTGGCTCTCTTCTATAAGCCATGTGCTGTGGGATTTCCAACAATAGTGTTGGGTGTGCAGTGGCTCTATTCTATAAGCCTTATGTTGTGGGATTTGCAACAGTATACTCTAGACTTCTCAGTAGACAAAGACCACTCACCTAATCTAGCACCCTCACCATTTCCTAGTTACATGAAACTTCTTGCCACTAAATCGAGAAGCAATTCCATCATTCTAATATGGGAATCTTGTTTTATTCCTTAAAGGGGGAAAAAATTGAGGCCTCAAATTTGTCTCCTCAGCAATTATGTAAACTGCAGGATTTGTTGCATGTGTTTGAGAGTGTGTTTATGGTTCTTACTACACACCCCCAATTAGAGCACAGGATCGCAAAATTCCTTTGTTGCCATGAGTTAAACCTCTTAGTATTCGACCATATCATTATGGTCTAGTCCAAAAGAGTGAAATTGAGCAGGCTGTTCAAGAGCTACTGGATTGTGGCTTCATTAGGTCTAGCCATAGCCCATTTTCTTTCCCTGTTTTATTGGTGAAGAAGAAAGAGGGAACTTGGTGCCTTTGCATGGACTACAGAGAGTTGAACCACATCACTATTAAGGATAAATATCATATACCACTTATTGATGAGCTTTTTAGAGCCATGTTCTTTTCAAAACCTAACTTGAGGTTCGAGTATCATCAGATACGTATGCACACTAATGACATAGAGAAGACAACATTTCAAATTCATGAAGGACACTACGAATTCTTAGGTATGCCCTTTGGCTTGACTAATGCTCCAGCAACATTTCAGAGCTTGATGAATGCCATCTTCAAACCTTATCTGAGAAGATTTATTCTAGTTTTTTTTATGACATTTTGGTTTGCGATAAGAATTGGGCATACCATCTCTCACATTTGTCCACAACATTTGAAGTCTTGTAGTAGCACAAACTTTTTGTTAAAAAACAAAAGTGTTCTTTTGGTTAGAGCCAAATCGAGTATTTGGGACACATTGTTTCCAAAGAATGAGTCACAGCTGATCCTGCAAAGATTCAAGCAATTCTAGATTGGCATCTCCAGCAAATGTCAAGGCTTTCAGAGGGTTCTTGGGATTATCAAGTTATTATCGCAAGTTCATACTTGGTTATGGAAAAATATGTCAGCCACTATGTAACTTAACTAAGAAAGATGGGTTTTAGTGGTCACCAGAGGCTGAATTGGCCTTCCAGCAACTCAAAATAGCTATGACTTCTCCTCAGTTATTAACTTTACCATACTTTTCAACACCCTTTGTAATAGAATGTGATGCATCAGGTTCTGAGATAGGTGCAGTCCTGTAACAAAAGGGTAGGCCGATTGCATTCACTATCAAGTCTCTTGGTCCCAGAAACCAAGCTCTATTTACATATGAGAGAGAATTGATCGCTATAATGCATGCCACTCAGAAATGGCAGAATTATTTGCAAAGGAACCATTTCATCATCAAAACGGATCACAACAGTTTGAAATACTTCTTGAATCAAAGAACCTCCACTCCATTCCAACAGAAGTGGGTTTCCAAACTCTTAGGTTTTGACTACAAGATTCAGTATAAGCAAGGGGTAGACAATGTAGTTGCATATGCTTTGTCTCGAGTTCCTAGATCTACCATTTTATCTGAGCCACCACATGATATTCTTGTAAAGTGCACAACCATAACTTACCCTTACTATGGAATGGTTAGATGAATTAAGAAGGCATTCGGAACAGGATGCTTGGATCTTCTAGAAAATGAAGGAGGTAATGAACCCCTCTTAAGCCTCCCCCACCAATGCACAGTTATCCAACTTTACCATTGATAATGGTTTCTTAAAGCATAAGTCACGAATGGTGGTTAGTCCGACTTCTAGTTGGCGAAGGAAGCTCTTTGAGGAGCATCGCAGTACACCTATAGTTGGTCATGATGAGGTATTAAAGACTTACCAGAGATTGAAAAGAAATTTCTATTGGCCAGGATGAAAAAAGACATCAAGCTATAGGTCTCGAAATGTAAAGCTTGCCAACAGAACAAATATGAAACCTTGGCATCCCCTAGATTATTGCACCCTCTTCCCATTCCTGACAAAGTGTGGCTTGATATCAGCTTGGATTTTATCACTGGAATCCCAAATTGCAAAGGTAAATATGTTATTATGGTAGTGGTGGATAGGCTATCTAAATTTGCTTATTTCATTGCACTAGGACACCCATATACTGCACAAATTGTTGCTCGGGCTTTTGTAGACAATGTATTCAAGTTGCATGGCATGCCTGCAACTATTGTGAGTGACAAGGATACCATTTTCCTGAATGCTTTATGGAAAGAGTTTTTCAAGCTTTAAGGATCCAAATTGTGCATGATTCAAGTTACCACCCTCAGAGTGATGGACAAACTTAGGTTGTTAACAGGTGCCTTGAGACTTATTTACGATGTTTCACAAGTTGCCAGCCTAAGAAATGGCTTGATTAGCTCTTTTGGGCCGAGTGAAGTTATAACACTTCCTTTCACACCTTTACTCAATTCAATCCCTTTGAGATTGTGTATGGCTACCCTTATCCCCATGTTGCTGCATATGAAAGAGACACTGCAAAATTGGAAGTAGTGGAACAAGGGCTTTTGGAACCAGACAAATTGCTCTCCATGTTCAAGACTAATCTGTTGGTTGCTCAAAATCGCATGAAGGTTCAAGCTGACAAACATCGAAGGGAAAAAGAATATGCAGTTGGTGACCTCGTCTACTTGAAGCTACTCCCTTATCAACTCTAATCCCTTGCTATCCATACTCACCACAAACTTCACCCCCGGTGCTATGGACCATTTGAGATATTGGATAGGGTTGGCTTGGTAGCTTATAAGTTAAAGCTACATTTGGAGTCTAAAATTCACCCTGTCTTTCAGATAAGTTGCCTTAAGAAGCATTTAGGCCACATGTCACTCTTATTCCACTACTACCAGTGTTGCCAGATGAAGAAGTGTGTGTCAAGGAACTTGAGACTGTGCTGAAAATGAGAGTCTATAAGAAAGGCAATGCAGCAGGAGTTCAACTAGTAGTAAAATGGAAATTTAGCTCAGATGCATATTCAACTTGGGAAGACTTTGATGATTTCACTACAAGGTTCTCAGACTTTAAGTTCCAGTCCCAAACTTGAGGACAAGGTTTCTTTTCAAAGGGGTGAGTAATGTTAGGATTGTGATTTACTTTATCACAATTATATAGTCGTTAAGCATTATTAGTGAACTTAAGTTGTTTTACTTAGTCAATTAGTTTATTTAGTGAATGGCCAGCTGGCAATGGTTATTTGTGAAAGGGAATATAAGCACCAATAGTCTAACAGTCCTTGTAATGGTATTTTGATTAGAAAACAATATTACAAAAATATTCAATTCTCTCTCTATCTTCTTCCTCCATACCCTCTACCATTGTTACTAGCTACTTGCAGGTTGAGCTAAGGAGTTGGAGCATTGATCCTAACAGTACAGCATATCAATGAAACATGATTGGGGAAAATGAAGGTTTACAAATTGATTGGTTACTCTTTAGAATTGTAGATTGTTGGTCTCGATTCGTTCCGAAATATTGAAAACATTTTGTGATTTCCGAAATTTCGGTTCGAGGTGGTAAGACCATCTCCAACCGAAGGAGGGCCAAATGACTTGTTTTAACTCTCTGGCCCTCTAAGATATTAATATTTTAATGAACAGTATATGGTCATATTTGACTCTATCTCTAATCGAGAGCCAAAGGGCCATAGGGCTCGTTGTAGCCATGCCACAAAAAACCGTCTTCAACCGAAGGCCAAACATAATTTATTATTTAAATTTAAAAACAACAACAACTTAAATTTAAAAACTATAACAACTTAAATGTAAAAACTACAAACTTATGTTTAAAAACTACAACCTAAATTTAAAAACTACAACAACCTATGTTTTATATTGTTTAATGTTGTTTCATGTTACTTAATTTAATTTAATATTGTATAATGGCCTAGGAAGTTATAGGAAAAAAAATAGAATTTAAAAAAAAATATGAAACAAATTTTGTAAAATAGAAGTTATAGGAAAAAAAATATGAAACAAATGTTGTGAAATAGAAGTTATAGAAAAAAATAGAATTTAAAAAATGAAGTTATAGCAAAAAAAAATTTGTAAAAAAAGAAAAAACATAAAAATTAAAACTGTAAAAAAAAAAATTAAAAAATAACGGCTAGCTAACGTCAGCTAGTAGTTGCATTTGAATTTTGGCCTAAAATTCCTGTCATATCCGACAGGATTGGTGAGTTTTCTAGCCCAGCACGGGGCTGGCTGGCTCATTTGGGCCAGCCCTTTGGCCTTTTCAGATTTCGTGGAGCCCACGAGCCTCTGACCTAACTCTTAGTTTGAGACGATTTTTGAGTTTTTTTTTGCCATCTGGCCTTTGGACCCTTCGATTGAAGATTGTCTAAATTCTCATCCTTCGGGATCCCTTCCCATACCGAACTAGCCATAGCAGATACTATCTTTCCCTAAAAAAAAATTATAAAAACCAGGCGCCCAAATTGCTTTGCTAATTGTATTTTTTTATTGGTTGTAAATGGATTACCTTGGAACTCCATGGCTGAGGTCCAACTGAGCATCGCTAGGACCAAACACGTCGCCGTCCGGCGAAGCCTCCACCACCTGGCCGTACTCTCCAAAGCTCTCCGGAGTGGCTTCGACGGCCTTCAGCTTCACCCACTTAGACTCGCCGGAGATTTCCATCTCTCTTTGTTATTCTTTTCTCTAAATAAAAATCCAAATATAAATATTTTCTGTTCCCCACTCGTCCTTTTATACGGATAAGGATCGAAACGATGCCGTTTCTCTGAGGTCTAAATGAAACGCACCGTTTCGGGCTTCCCCAAACTCTAAACACCGTAGACTTATTCTTCGTCTTCTTCAACCTACTGCAACTCACACTCGCAAGTCACAGTTGCCTCCATGGCAGCTCCACCTCAAACCTTAACCCAACCCCAACTCCTCAAAACCCTAACCAACCTCTTGACCTCCACAAAAACCCTAAACCCAGAAACCCTAAAACCCCACATTCCGCATCTGACCCAACCCCTCCTCCTCTCCATCATCTCCTCCAAAACCCTAGCCTCCCAACCCACCACCCTCCTCTTCTTCTTCCGGTGGGCCCAGGCCCACACGCCCTCCCTAACCCAATGCCCACAAACCCTCCTCGTCCTCCTCCCCTCCCTCTTCACCCACCACAAGTTCTCCGATGCCAAAGCCCTCCTCGTCCAATTCATCGCCGCCGATCGCCAGAACGATCTCCACCGCCTTATTCTGCACCCGGACCCCACCGTGCCGAAGCCCTCGAAGGCCCTTCTGGACACTTCCATTGGGGCATATGTGCAATCCGGGAAACCCCACCTTGCAGCCCAAGTGTTTGATAAAATGAAGCGGCTTCGGCTTCAGCCCAATTTACTCACCTGCAATACTCTGATTAATGGTCTGGTAAGGTACCGGTCCTCGCATTCGATTTCATTGTCTAGAGGTGTGTTTAAGCATGCTGTTGAGTTAGGGGTTAAAGTGAATACGAATACTTTTAACATTTTGATATATGGGTATTGCTTGGAACATAAGTTTAGGGATGCTGTAGAGTTGTTGAGTAGGATGAGTGAATTCAGATGCGTGCCCGATAATGTGAGCTATAATACGATATTGGACTGGCTGTGTAAGAAGGGGCAGTTGAATGAGGCCCGGGACTTGTTGTTGGACATGAAGAATCGAGGTTTGTTTCCGAATAGGAACACCTATAACATTTTGGTTTGTGGGTATTGTAAGATGGGGTGGTTGAAGGAGGCAATGCAGGTGATCGAATTGATGACACAGAACAGTTTGTTGCCGGATATTTGGACGTACAATGTCTTGATTAAGGGGTTGTGTAGGGAGGGTAGGATTGAGGAGGCTCTGAGGCTTCGGGTTGAGATGGAAAATTTGAAGTTGATGCCTGATGTTGTCACGTATAACACATTGATTGATGGGTATTTTGAGTGGAGGAGCAATTCAGAGACCTTTAAGTTGATTGAGGAGATGCGTGCAAAGGGAGTGAAAGCAAATGCAGTTACTCACAATATAATAGTAAAGTGGTTCTGTAAAGAAGGGAAGCTGGATGAAGCCAGTGATACTTTAAGGAAGATGGAGGAAGATGGGTTTGCTCCTGATTGTGTCACTTATAATACTTTAATTAACGAGTATTGCAAGGCAGGGAAAATGGCAGAAGCATTTAAAATGATGAATGAGATGGGTATGAAAGGTTTGAAGATGGACATCTTTACTCTCAATACTCTTCTTCACACTCTTTGCAGTGACAAGAAGCTTGATGAGGCATTTGAGTTGTTTCATACTTCAACTAAGCGGGGTTATATTCTTGATGAGGTAAGCTATGGAACCTTGATCACGGGATGTTTTAGAACGAAAAGGCCAACAAGGGTTTTGAGCTTTGGGATGAGATGAAGGAGAAGCAGGTTGTTCCCAGCATTGCCACCTATAACACTATAATTGGAGGGCTCTGCCAGTCTGGAAAAACTGATCAAGCATTCGACAAGTTGAATGAGCTTGTAGAGAGGGGTCTAGTCCCTGATGGAACTACATACAACACGATAATTCATGGTTACTGCCGTGAGGGGAATGTTGAGAAAGCATTTCAGTTCCACAACAAAATGATTGAGAAATCATTCAAGCCAGATGTCTATACATGTAATACTCTTCTTTGTGGGCTATGTAGAGAGGGCATGTTAGAAAAAGCTCTGAAGCTTTTTAACACATGGATTTCGAAAGGAAAAGACATTGATGCAGTTACTTACAACACATTAATATCAAGCCTTTGCAAAGAGGGAAGGTTTGATGATGTTTTTGATCTATTTTTGGAAATGGAAGAAAAGAGATTTGAACCGGACCAGTATACATACACTGCCATTTTGGGTGCACTTACTGATGCTGGTAGGATCAAGGAAGCAGAAGAGTTTATTTTGAAAATGATTGATATGGGAAAGTTACCTGGTTTGCCCTCAAAATTGGAGGAGGTGAAAAATGGAGTGACCGAAACATCAGTTGAATCTGATTCAAGCACAGGTGCTTATTCAGAGAAAATCATTGAGTGTTGCTTTCAAGGTAAATACAAGGATGCAATGCACATTTTGGAAGAATCAATGCAGAAGGGCATGACCTTAAGTCGAGATGTTTATATTAATTTGATGAATGGGCTCATTAAGAGGCGAAAAGGCACATCAAAGGCTGTTAAGCTGTAATGAGACCTTAGGCTATTTTTGACAATGTCAGAGTGCGCGAGCCTTGCCTGCGTGTTCTATTTGAATTTGACAACAGCTGGACCAGGTACTACCTTTTGTTTTCTTATCTTTTCATCTTTCTCTAATCTTCTCATAGAATCCAGTTTCGGGTTTAATTCCCATACAATCTTCCTTAGTTCAAAAGAGTTCGCAGGAAGAACATAGACATATTGACAGTATGATTCACTTTGTAGACGCACAAGAATGAAATTTCGTGGTACCATGCAAACTTATGTTATTTACAAGTTTGCACTTTCTGTCTATTGTGAAAATACAAAAGAGCATCACTTTTTGTCTTGGAACTGAGTCCTGTTCAACATTTTGCAGTAATGACGAAGCCAAGGGAGATCGCAACAATATTATTTTGCTAATATTTTTATTCTTTTTGGGTATGCAACTGGAGCAAATGCAAATTGGTAAAGGAAGATTTATTTTACGTTTTGTTGATGTTTTTATTAGTGAGTGCTGATCAAAGATAAAAATAAGTTTGACATTTGTTGAATGTCACAGGTTCACATGAAATGAATGATGTTTCTTTGTCCATGCCATTAAATATGAGGTGTGGTCGGGTTCAATTAAAGGCAGGGCATGGAATCTTGTTCTCCATCTGAGACCGCAACTGAGAATAAATGGCAGCTGAAAGTGGGCCTAGTTTTCGTGAAAGGCGTTTCTTATGGCTGATGCGAGGAAAAACTGGTTCACGAGGTTAGCAATAATCTGCACGATGTAAGAATCTAGTTCAGTTCTCTTTCCAATGTTCTTTATTTGAGAATGCTAGAGGGAAGAATGAAGTTGGTGAGGTTCCGTATCAGCCTACCATTTCGTACAAAAGGAAGTTTTCCCTTAGAACAGACCGTGATGTTAAAAAAGTGATATGTGTCCTCTTGCATCTTTCTTAGCCTTTTGGACAAGATTTGAAGGTTTTTTTTTTGCATCGTTATTGACAATGGCGATTTCCGGGGTTTAAAGCACGTTCAAGTATAATACCATCACCAAAGACTAATTCTCCCCGACTTCCAGACTTCCAAAACCATTCGTCTTACGAAAGAAGGGAAAGCCATGGTCAATGAAGGGCTGAAAGGTACATTACTCATCACATATGCCTGTCAGAAATGAATTAGACGGTACTGATTCCATCGGTTCCGATTCATTTCGTTAGGGTTGAGCTCCAGAAAACTGTCACCTCCTCGCCTTCACGAGGATCCCTGCAATTTCTGGTGCAATTTGTGCTTTTCTGTAAAGTTACTTGTCAATAATGAAAGGAAGATAGCTGTATTGAATAAAGCTGAAAGGGTTGTATGCTTTTGCACTCTGTATCATAGATGAACTGTCTTATTTCTTCCTGAAAAAGAAAAAAAAAAAAGGAGCCGTGTAAATTAAGCGTTTGGATCATGAAGATTATGAAGGATGCTTGGTAGCATCTCCTAACCTCTACTTTTGCATTTCTCTAATGTACTACACAAAGAAAGACAAACGTATATTTAAAGACACTTCTCCTCTCGACCTTCCAACACCAGGCAGGTGTCAAACTTCGTACATCGTGTTACCACTTGGCAGAAACAATTTTCTTTGTAACTGCACCAAAAAAAAAAAAAAAAAAAAAAAAAGATTTTCACACGCCCGTAGTCCCTTGCCCAATCTTTATTTTTGTCGTTTGAGTTCACTAATAAATAATAGGAATCACTAGTGCAGAGTAAAAAAGTAACATGCAAATTTTTTGAAGTAGTTCAAAGATGACTTGAACCTCCACAATCTTTAGCACAAGATTTTGAGTCTCGTATGGCTACCATTTTAACTTCTTGTTTTTTTGTTTCTTTAAAATCGGTTCATAAAATGGAAGTTTTTTTCTTGGAGATTTATTTGATTTGTCATATTTTGCATTAAAAAAAGAGGTCATAAAATGTGTAGAAATCATTTCCCCTATCTAAAAAGCTATTTTAACCATCTCTCTAATAGAGAGATGGTACAAATAAATCATAAGCGTAGCACTACTCTTTTCCTAAATATTTTACGGAAAACACATCAACGTTTGTCAAAAGTTGCATTCCTAACTCACTAAGTAAAAGCTTTAATTTGTATCTAAAATACAGGTAAAAAAAAAAGAGTAGGGTTCGTTAGAAAGAGATGTACATACAACTGTTTTAGCAAATATAAAATTTCATAGTTGACTCCGGAAATATGATAAAGCAAAAGCTTATTAAACTTTTAAAAGTTTGAATTTGTCTTCAATTATTTAAATTCCTCTTAATGATAAAGCAAAACCGTACTCACTAATAACTTGCATTAGCTTTTGATGTTTTATCATTCATCATCCTTTGGCGTACGTTTTAGTTAATCTAAAACATTCAATTGCTAGATTTGTGTGGATTTGCAACTTTATCTACAGAAATAACTGCTGTTAGGTTAATATGCCACAACATTTGGAATCTTTGCAAGTCTAATGCGACAATCTAAAGCCACTTTTGGTGTGTCAAATATTTGGTCAGATTGTTTTTCACATCACCTCGTCGATGAAGTGAGTAAACTGTGGTTGTGTGAAAATAGTCAATCATTCTACTTTTTGGGATTTAGGGAAACAGATGAAGGATTATGAGGATAAAACTTGTCCTACGTATTATCGTTATGTCTCATCCTCTTCATGTGTAAACAGTGACCGCTTAATCAAGAATTTCTCTACCATTACATCAGTATCCATTTCCTGTTTGCAGTTTCATGTACCATGTTGTCCCATTTGGAAATTAAGAGGGCTTACAGTACTAGTTTAATCAAAATTTTCAAAAAGCAGTACACCAAATGACCAAAACAGTGTTTTTCTTTGATTTTCTGAATCCCATGAACCCCAAAAGCCAGAACCCAGAACCCAGAACCCTCTCTAGTATGAAACCATGAAAATTTGAAGACCAGGTGGGTTTATCATTTGCCTACAATTGCAAGTTGGTTTCTGATTCTGAGTCTTCTGACCCCGACCTTTGAGAGAGAGTTTTCGGGTTGGGGTGGGAGAAGTGGCATCCAACCTTTCCTAATTATTTGGATTGACATCTGATACGAATACATGTACAGTACCGAGCATTCACATGCATTTTCTTGTTTTCTAGTAATTGATGGTTTTCGTAGTGTTCCACAATTCCAAAATTTTCTTCTGGACAAATTTGCATCTCTGGAGTGCTGCAAATACTGCCAGCATTGCTTATCGATCTTGCAAATATGTACGAAAGCAACTTAGCATAAATTTAACCAACTATTTTTTACTACATGCACAGTACTCTTAGACCTCGGTTTGTTAAAAAATATTGGCTTGGGTAGGACTATCACTATATTGATGGTTACTCACAAAGAAAGTTGTCCACTTTAATCTTATAATTTTTGTGGGGATTAGTAGGGATATCTTTTATTCATGGTAACCTTTAACTTGGACAAATATGAAAGTTGTCACCCAATATTTCCTTCAAAATACTTTCAATACAATGAATGGTTCAATCCAAGTCAATCTTCTCTAAAAAATGAGGCCTTAAATTATAGAACCAAGAATGATACTATGGTTTAGACTCTCCATGGTTGCATTTGGCCATGTGTTAGCCCTTCAAAATTAATATTTTAAGGAATATTTGTAGGCTTAAATTTTTTAATCTTCTACCACGCCGAGTTAAACTGTTCTATTTTAGCTTGGGATGCACATGTCGGGACCCATTGAGGAGCTTGAGGGCTTTGTTATATGCAGCCAGCTCTTGGCTAAATTTAGTCTTAATTCTTTTTAGCAGATTCATTTTGGTCCATAGCTAGAGACGAGTTTTGAACAAATGCAGGCTAAAAGTGGCCTATATCCCCTTGGCCTGAGATGGCCTAATATATTCAATGGGTTGCGCTACGAAATATTTTCATATAACTGTGATTGTCACTTATTCTATACGTGATGATATATCAACGTGATGTCAATTCATTCACTTTAACGTAGTGGACGATTATTTTATACTTTAGTCCTCCCAGTTGATTTGATTCTTGAATTTTTAGTATTTCATTACGAATTTAATAAAAAAAAATCACGCTTTTTTATTTCATATTTGAAACGATTCACATTCATGTTTTTAGTGAATGCATGTAAGAATTACAGTTCCTATTTTCTTTAGGCAAAGCATGCTTTCAACGTCTACGTGAATGGATGAATCACATCACTTCGAATCAAACCGATAATCTGTCATAGACTCGTAGCTAGAGTTACAGCTAGCCAAAAGTAGAGAAAAAGAGAGTAGGATTCTCTACTCTTATTTTTTTTTCTCTCCTCCTATTTGAATGGTTATGGTTAAGCTACGTTAATATCTTATATTAATTTTTTATAAAAAAAAGAAAGACAAAATAAAGAATATAAAAGGAGAGGATGAAAGGAAATGAAAAGAGAAGAAGAAAAAATCCTAGTCCGTGAAAAAGAACGAATGATCATAACCTATATGTCTCATCAGTGGTTGCTCACGTATTACATCCAATATATCTCCTTACCAAAAGACAGTATATAAAGGTTGATCGATGGTCTCTGAATCTACATCTGCAGATCACAAAGATTAATTAATTAGAAACCAAGAAAGCGTGTGGGAGTATTATTGGGGAAACCCTACCCATGCATGACAGAATTGACAGATATGATACAACAAAGTTCAACAAAGCAAAGCAACCAACGCGTGGACCTTGTAAACCTTGTTCCATTGCTTCTCTAGGAACAAATGGAGGACAGTTTGCAAATTCCATACATATTTGTCCGATCCAAATCCTACAAAAATGCTTCCTTGATTTGCATGGAAAATAAATAAATTAATATTATATAAAGAGAGAATATTCTTGTCTAGGGGAAGGGGTCCAAATTAGTCAGTCATTAGCCTTTGATTAAGTTGTACAAACTTAAGGAACATAATGATTATTGAATATTATTGAAGCAAAGCATATCTAACAACAACAAAAAGAAAAGTAAAGCATATGAAAAACATATTGTAAATGTGCATCACCATGTTGAATAGCATATTATTTGATCATTCAATTCTTTCAATAAGATACCGATTAATTATGCGATAGAGAGAGAGAAAATAAGACGCGCAATATATACATGTTGCAGATAAGTTATTTCTGCAGTATTGTGACTTGACAGTGTGTACGAGTACATATATGCCCTTTAAATTTATTTGATGTTGTCAATATATTTGTGGAAATATTCGAAAAATATATAATTAAAAAAAAGATATGAAAGAGAGGTGGATGAAATCTAAACTTCACCTTATATTAAAGAAACTCTTAAGTTTATGTGAAAATTAACTTGTTTATTGATATTTTCGACATGTGTTTAAAATATCGGTATCAGTGGAAACTTTTTTATTTCGTTCAAATCAATGTTTGACATTCTCTTAAGTTTCATTTTAAATTTTCATTATTTTCATCGAAAGCAATCAATATCAATATTTGATATACCTGTCCATATTTCCATAAAGTTTTATATTGATATTTCCACAGATACCGATATTTTAAACATTGTATGTATGTCATATATGGTTTGATAATTCATCAAACCACAATCTAGCTAGAATTTGGCCGTATTTATTTCGTTCTTCAAATTATTTTTCTTGTTTTTTTCTCCTCTTTGTTTTTAATCTAATTTGGAAAGATGATGAATCATGCATACGAACATGGAACTTTCAATTCATATACAATTGCAGAAAAACTTGCAGTAAATGATTTGATCTATACAGTTTCTTGAGTAGGTGTGGCTAACGTTTGTTGAGTTCAGTCTTCTTTCCAAGACATGCATGATATCGATGCATGCACACTGGCCTAACTCAATAAAAGCCACATGCAATATATGCATGCGCAATGGCCTAACTCAATAAAAGCCACTATTTTAAACTTACAGTTTTTTTTTTTAATTACAAGCAATATTATTATTGTAATCTAAATGTAAAGGAAGTGATAGATTTAAACCTGAGATGCAGTGAGTTGAAGGGTAGGAAAACTTTAGTTCCGGTCCCTGATTAACTAAAATGTTAGATTGAAACTTTATTAATTTTAATATTTTACTTGAAGGACAAAATATTAAATTTTAATATTAATTAAGAAATTCAATAACAGTTTTTTTTCTTCTAAACAAACGATATTAGGGGGTGAGTTTAGCCTTACAATGGACTAGCAATAATGTGATTAAAATTTGTCTTTGGTGAGAATCGAATCTAAGACCTTTCACTTACAAGTGAGGAGAAATACCACTAGGTGGCAATTACAAAAATTAATAAATCCTTCTTAAAATCATGCAAATATTAATTCCCAGTAGGGAATTATAATTTCTTTTCCTCAAATCTGAATAGTGTGAAATCTGATTAGATTTTTTGTTATTTCAAAATAAAAAATTTTATTTTTAGTTTTCCATATTGGTACGTTTAAATTAAAATGAGTGCATTTTATTA